GGAACAAGCCTTTGCTTCTGGTTCTTTGGTTTGTGCGGTACCAGTACCGGCTGGTACTGGCTTGGGCAAGGCACCTGGCAATTCCGACACTCCTGTAGTTGGGACAGCACTCATACTCCCTCATCTCCTCATTTACGCTATACCCAACCACAGGCGATCCACTCACTGATTCTCTACAAAGCCCAAAAAATGATGCTGCACTGTACAAATCCCAGCCATGGCAGTCATGGGGCATGCTCAAGATTTCTTCCAACAGCAGGACTTGCATTGAGGCACGCGCCAAGGTGTTGGGGCAAATCATCGCAAATCACGAGTTGGCCAGCAGGCCACCCGCAAGTGCTGCCAGGCCACCACAAAGTGTACAATATCTTCCTCAGAAACACGGTTGAAGGACAAAAGGTTCGGGAAGGGTTCTCCAGTCGTACTTGGTTCATCTTTGTTGCATGAACCAGGCGTCCATACCGTATCTATACACTGAGAATCTATATACAGGGTCAACAGGTAAGAAATCATTTGACTCAAAATCAGCGCACAACAGCAGCAAAGCCGTAGTTGTCCAAACACTCCATGTATGGAATACAATTATATAGTAATATACATACATGTACCCCATTGATGACCCGCAAACGATTTACAAGTTCCCTATAGTTCCCTCATGTTCCCTTCAGTTCCATCGATGCTCTGGGTTGGTGTCCACTATGTCCTTGGTGTCGACCGTCTTTGGTTGTCTCTCCGGATCGGGTCTCTCCAGGTTCGGCACACGCCGCGGCACGCGTGTGCGCTGACACGCCACACCGGTACGGTACCTTCAGGTACACCTGAAAGCCTTACTGTTTCATGGGGGGAGCAACTTGGTTTTTGCTCCGGAAGTCTCATGTCATGTCGTGAGAGGGTTCTTGAGTAATGAAAACCATGTGAAAATGCACCACGTGTTTTACATCATAAAACTCTCCGCGCCATGCGTCCATCGATCCTGACTCCAATCTTTGAGGCTTGGGCAACTCTTCCCGGCTTCCTCCAGGAAGATCTGCGGTCTGTGCCGAAGAGTTGGAACAGCCAAGGGTCGATATGTAAGTCGTCAATGAGGGAGGCCGCTTGCACGAACTCTTGAAGGGAGACCTGCGCGTGCTTGCGCTGCAAATGGACCCAAAACATCCGAGCCAGTCATGCAGTACACCTAAAAAGGACCTAAGGGGACTGTAGGGAGAATGGATACCTGTTGGATGTAGAAAAAATGTCCAACCTGTCCAGGCAGGCGTCTGTTCGCCTTCGACCTTTCGCCCCAAACGGGCCATGTCCACGTCGGGTGCGAGGCGGGAGCACTGTGGTGCCACGGCGTGGCTTGCTTGGGGTTGAGAGTAGATGGCGCAATCCCCAATGTCGGTGGTTGATAACCCCCATCTAAAATGACATCTTAGGGGTTCGTGCCATCTACTCCCAATCGACTATATCTGTGTGTGATTGTGTGTGTGCTAAAAGGTGAACAACACACGCACTTCAGGACTTTCACGACACATGTACCTGGAGCATATCCTTCCGCGGGGCACGATTCCACAACGTTCACAACTTCCCGTGACTCCATTGGCCATCCTCCCCCGACAGAGGGGGAGGAAACCCCCATCCCATGGCCTCCTATGTGCGTGGCAGCCGACCCCGAAACAGGACAAAAGGATACAAAAGGCATAAAAGTCCTACATCATCTTCGCCAAGGACCTATAATATCCTATAATCATCTATAATCTATCATGATGGTGCAGCAAGTGGGCGGGTTCATGTGGCATGCCTACATCTCATCCAGGCTCCAACAATAGCAGCAGGAGCCAGTGACAGTTCCAGCCGTTCCCGAAGTGCTTTGCTGAAGCTACAGTCTCGGTCAAACATGGTCAGACCAAACCGGTTGACAACACCATCTCCTGTTCATGATCCAAAGGGCTAACTACTCAAAAGTTGGACTTCGACTTGAAATTCTTCACGACTAACTGGATATTATGATGTCTAATGATTACCATTCAAATTGGAAGACTGAATCTCTAGTGCTCTGAAACAGAGCTCCATACCGTATGGCACCCTCCAAGCTCCGACCTGCCTTGCCCGACTCATCTGCGTCAAAGCCTGCAAACTGGTGGCTTTTGACAGGTCAACAAGGCCCAGCTCGCCATCAAGAACAAGTGCCCAGCAGCACAGTCACTAATTAGTGGATGCCGATGGATATGGCCAGCGCCAGCTCTGATTCACGAGCTTCGCCCAAAAGGAATTTCTCCAAAAGTGGAAGTGATGGGGGAAGGGCCTCACATCCAAGGTTTACCCTCCCTGAACCAATCATGGAAGTGAAGTGGAAAACCGCCGGTTTGTGGAGGAAAGCAGTCTTCCAAGAGGCCATGTTCCACTTCCATGCTTGTTGGAGGCAGGGTTTAAAAAGAAAGAAACCAAAGCATGTCAGGTCTCAAAGCATCTCCGTATACTTCTCCGTGCTCCGCCGAGCACGCGACGCCTCGAAGCTTGAGAATCACCCATTTCGGGGAGAAAAAAGACCATTGCAAGATCGGGTCCACAAAACCTCCATGCTTCCATTTGTGTAACGTCATGCGGCAATACCATGTCATACCAATTGTTGATCCACGGTGCTGTCCCATACTAACGGTTTTCGGAGCATGACCCTGTATACCGCCTGGCTGGTAACCGGTTAAGCCAGGAGCTCCTAGTAGCGTCCTTGCTCCTAGTAGTAAGGCCAGGAGCCCCTAGTACCGTCCTGGCTCCTAGTAGCAACGCCCTTTGCAACTAGTAGCGTCCTTGCTAATCTTGCTATGCTCTTTGCTACTAGCTTCACCGTGTGGGGGCGGATGGCGGGTACATCTTCACCCAAATCATCCCAACAAACACAGGCGCCTGTGAGAGTCGCTCGCCACAGCAAGTTCAGTTCGTCTGCTTGTACAGTACCTGCCACGCTCTGTCTCAAGTGCAGGAGTTCATCTCTCCCCCAGCCGGTCGAAGCCTCGGTCCGATTCTGGGACCGACTGAGGCAACCATGGATCTTTCAGCGAACCATGGGACATAGGAGTTACGGACATCCCAAAGCTCATGACTTAGCCACAAACATTTGGTACTTTTCACAACTCCTGTGTCATTTCACCCAAACCATGTAGACGTCCCAACTCACGGGGCCGGGGCACCAGCTTTGATCTGCCGGGCGTAGAGCTCCTGCGACGGACGAAGGGACGAAGGGACGAGGTACGTAGAGCTCACCAGCGGATCTCCGGACGAGGCGGTCGGGGTTTCCATGAAGACATACCCAACTCCAGCATCTTCAAGCTGGAGGTGTGCTCTTTTGTCAAGCTTTGAGAAGCTACCGCACCAAAGGGATAGAACGTACATTCGCAAACACTGTGCACAATTGCCGCCGCTAAGATTAGAAACAGTTATATAAGAGTTAAGAGAGTCATTAGAGCCTGAGATCAAGTCAACAAAAGATGTTGTTAGATCTCCATGTGCGTCATGTGGATATCACCGGTCTTGGACCTTGGCCTCACCGAACTCAGCCTGACCCCCTGAGAAACGAAAAGTGGTCCTCCAAATATCCATACAAACTGTCCTGAGCATGAGAGAAGCGGGAAAGGTCAACGGCGGATTCGGAAGCCAACGGGAGGACATGGATTCGGAAACGAGGGACGCAACGGGTTCGAAGGAACGTCAACACAGTACCTCACCCCACCCAGAGACCCCCTGTAGCTTCTGCATCGGGCGAGTTTCTGACTCGGGCCTTCAGCCTAGTTTCTGAATCGGACTATCCAAGTTTCTGACAAGCAACCAATAGTAAAAGGCCAACTTATATCATCTTATGACTATGACTCAAACCCCAAAAACACTAATCTCACTGACACATCCTGACATAGCGCTCAACCGCTTCCATCCTCATCTACAAGACATCAGCGTCCACGCGTCCACCACGGACCCCAAACATCTTCATGATTCATGTCATTCTCATGTCATGCATCTCATTCTCACTTGAGAGAGGAGGGGGTGAACGAAAGGTAGCAGGCAATCACAAGTAACCCTGGTAGAAGTCCATGACGGCGTGAACCGGCGCAGGGGGGATTTGATCCAGGGAGGGGGGGGCCCCCCCCCGACGAACAGAATCAACTCTTACAGGACCAAATTCAATGCACAATCCCAACTCCTGATTGTAATACATTTTTGCTAAAGCAAGGAGAACTCTGGTAGCTCAAGCTACCTTTCGTGATCTGACCCATCGTCCCATTGTTTCTTCACCAAGATGCCATACTCATGGGGCCATCCTTGGCCATGCTGTGGTAGCAGGAATGTGAGATCAGCATGCGCGCCTGCCCCGAGACTTGTCATGCGCGACGGCCCGGTCAGGTGGGCCATCTTCGACGCCAAGTCGGGGCGCGGATGGCTTGTTCTTTGCCCATAAGGGAAAAAACAATGGACGACATCTATCAAACAGTGTGCAAAGCAGAAATTGAAATCCTCTTGCAAATCAGTGCCCTCTGATGGGAGTGTCTGAACAGTCCCCGGAAAAAGATGCCGTTTTTTCACGGTCCAAAAAGTGGAATAGTGGAAAGGATGTCCACGTCTATTAGCATACCCTCCCTGACACAATCATGGAAGTGGAATAATTACAGCCTGTTCATAGAGGAATTCAGTTGTCAGTCTTCCAAGGGGCCATTTTCCACTTCCATGTTTGTTGGATGGAGGGCAACTTCCTCTGAAACAGCTACAAATCACATCAAATCACTGTGGTTACGCCACCACTGTCAACCTACGGGCTGATGAGGGTGCCGCCATGTCAACCCAAGTGGCATTGCATTGGTAGAGGGCATGGCCAGGAAACGAAAGGTGCTCTTACCCACATGTTCCACGACAACACTTGTTGACGGTCCAAACGATATAGCTCAATTGCTCCAAGCTCGACGGTCCATGCTGCAGCCCTACACGATGTTCCAGCCCAAATGTGCCCAGATCAACTGCCCCCAACCTTTAAATCACTCCCCCCACAGTCGCAGCCTTTCACAGCCCTTCTCGTGTTGGCGTCCCCAAGACCAATGGCCCCAGAAAAGAAACGGCGACATCTGCAGGTCTTCGCTCGCCTGGGTCTTCCGCAAATGGTCATAGATGTCGAAGGGTCCTTGGACGAGCTGAAGCTGCACAAAATGCTGCCCTTGTCAGGAGACCGCTCATACTAGTTTCCATGTATGTTAGTTGTAAGGAGTTCCAATGCCCACGTTTCCAAGCTCTGTTTTTTTTCTACAAAGTGGGGTATGGACGATGTAAATCACGCACGGGGTGTCGGGTGCTTTTGCAAAGCCCCCCTCAGGTATTCAAACATGTTGAGAACGAGGGAACCCCACAAGCCTCCAGTGACCACAAGAGTCCACTGGATGATCACTGCTCACCCCTTTGACACCTTTTCACACCTGTGTCCACTCCAAAACCTCACTCGAACCCACAGCGCATTCACCACGCAGTCCCCACTGCAGTCCACGTGGCGACAGGTCTCTCGCCGGTAGATCGTCGAGGGCGGCCCTATGGCAAACTCCACGATGTAGCGCATCACGGTCGCCTGCGAGGTGTGGCTAGAAGTTGAGGAAACCTTTCCAGGTCAACATCAACCCGTCAGCTTTTCTCATCCTCATTCATCCTCGCTTGGGACAGGTTTGGACCCAATCCAGGATCCTAGGAGGCCGGACATGCTCCGTTCCAAACAAAAAGCACACACATATGTGAACCTATTTCATTCACATGATTTCTCGTTCAACATCTGGTTCAACATCTCGTTCTAGCATGGAATCTTCATGCTCCGCGCTTGTTGGCCGAAAAACCGACCTCCAAACCAACCCGCTCCTTCCGGCCCGGCAGGCGTGCGGTGAGTGCTTCCACCCCCCCGAACGCTCGCTCCGCGCTCCCGCGCTCCGCGAACCGCGCGCCGGTAAGGCGAAGAGCACCGCCGCTTGAATGATCCAGGTCATGATGGGCGAGTGGGACAGGTAACGGAACTCCCCTTTGAAGCCGAAGCTGGGCGTCACCTAAGACACCGCAGCGGGAGCAGCTAGACGGCGCGGAACACCGTAGGGCACGGTGGTAGTGTTCTTTCATGTTTTTTCCCGGTGCCTGGTAACATGTGTGTTGTCCGTGGATGTCCGTGGCATGGTTTTGAGTTTTGGATGGTGCAGTATTTGCCGCCGCGAGGTTCATGCCTCGGGGACACTAAATAGAGAAAAGTGAGGTTCTTTTCGGAGTGTTTTGGGAGATCGGAGACTCTTTCTACCTTTCCAGGGGCGACTCAGGACCAGATCGGAGTCAAATCAGCAATATATGTCTTTGGCCAACGACGATGTGCTGCCAGAGGTTCATAACCCTCGGAAAGGGGCATTGCTTGGCATAGAAATACGAACAAGGGTTCCTAGATGCAAGTAAGGACAGCCAAAGGATGTGATAGGTCATACGAGTCATAAAAATCGAGGTATATATAGATAAGTTCGAGAACCTTGGTATATACGTAGTAGGCCGACACAATC